AAAAATTTTCATCGATTATCTTAACAACATTCACTCCACCATTAAATTCACCAGTTCACACTCTTCTACTTCACTCTCCCCAATCTCTCTTTCCCGCCCACGCCATGTTGATGATGCGCTGGTTGATCGATGGCCGATCGTATTTGCAAAACTTACATGTAATAAACTTTCCACGGCTTTTACCTGTAGCGTATCAAACGCCATTTAAACCTTTTTATTAAACATTTGCGTGGTTAAAGAGCCATTGAGTCTAAATGTATTTGTTTGATTACGCGCGTAGATCAGAAGTGTTGTTGCACACGCATAGAAACAAAGTCAAACAAAGTCCGTTGATCGATCGATGGCCGTTCGTATTTGTAAAACTTTATAAATCTTCCACGGCTTTTACCTGCAGAGTATCAAACGCCATTTGAACCTTTTTTTTAACATTTGCGTGTTTAAAGAGCAATTAATTGAGTCTAAATGTAGTTGTTTGATTACGCGCGTAGATCAGAAGTGTTGTTGCACACGCATAGCAACAAAGCCAAACTGAGTCCGTTGATCGATCGATGGCCGTTCGTATTTGTAAAACTTAATAAATCTTCCACAGCTTTTACCCGTAGAGTATCAAGCGCCATTTAAACCTTTTTATTAAACATTTGCGCGGTTAAAGAGCCATTGAGTCTAAATGTATTTGTTTGATTACACGCGTAGATCAGAAGTGTTGTTGCACACGCATAGCAACAAAGTCAAACTAAGTCCGTTGATCTATCGATGGCCGATTGTAACAGTGCTTGTTTTGTTCAACCTAACTATTTATTGTTTTCTAAATCGTATGAAAAAACTTCGGGCGAACTAACTTTAGGTCGGGACGAAACGACTTTGAGTTGGGGCTAAACGACTTGGGACGAAACGGACCTGGGGCGAAACGACCGTAATTCCGGCGGACTAGCATCCCATCCAGGGCCCGGGGAACTTTATGAGAAATACTCCTTGTCGGTACCGGGAAAAGCTCTTGTTGTGTAGCTAGACAACTTGCCCAGACCCAAACAATTCTTTTTCTTTCAGTTGTTGTTGTTGATGTTGTTTTTTGTTTTAGTTTTTTTGTTGTTGTTGTTTTCTTGTTTTTGTAGGAGAATCATTCCTACGATATGAGACAAGAGAAAAAGAAAAGGAAAAATTAACTAGTTATTCAAAGAATTGTGTGGACCATTTAAAATTAATGAAAAATTCAACGAATAGATTCCATGCTGCCGTGCGTCTGTTCAGTAACAGATCACACAAGACGTCAAGCGGGAAGTTGACGTCAAAATGTCAGTGGTAAGAACAAAAAAGAGACACACGAGCCTTTAGGCTGAGTGTGTCAATTAGCTACTATTGTTACTGATGCGATCTATTAAGGGACAGACGAACGGTAACTTGGAATCTATTTGTTTTATATATAAAACAAAAAAAATCTTAATGACTTCATTTATAATTCTGTCTTGCAATAGATCATAAGTAAGAACCAGTCAAAGTTCGCGAAAAACTTGGTTTATGAAATGTTCATTCAGATTAAAGTTTTAAAACTGTAACCAAATCTTTGTAAGTCCTTTTTCTTAGCAGTCAGTGTGAATCTTAGATGTAATCCTTCTATTCATCGAGTCTAGCTGTCTGGAGTCTTCTAGGCTAACGATTATGTGACAGAACCAACTCTGCTTATACTTACCGCAATACCTGAGGGGTCCCAATCAAGAGGTAGCTATAGCTTTTACGGCTACCAGTTAATAATTTGGCTTCTTTAATCCACGGCTAACGGTTCATTTATTTATCTTATGGTTAACAGAAATCTTGGAAATTAATTAATCATTGTTTCAAAAAATTAAAATTTATTTTGATTACTGTAAAAATAATATTCAAGGCCTTAGGACCATTCCGGCATGGCAAAAGGTATTAAAAGTATTATTAAAATTCTTAAGTACTACTTTTTCTTATTTTCTAGTATTTTTAATTTTTTAATTTGCTATATTTGTCTTAGTGTTATTCATTTGTCATTTAGATTGAGGGCAACTGGTTTATCAGTTTTTACTGTCATGTGCTACCCTCGAAAACTAAAGTTGTTACTTACTTACTTAGCTTGCTATTATAAGAATTTTAGACTAATATAGTAAGCTACAACACCAAACCACAGGATGAGACAAAAAATTCTTGACAAGATCTAGAGATGTGGAGAAAGTTTTTCGGCTAATTTTTTCTTTTTTTTACGGTTAACATTTGTTACAGTTAACCGATAAAATTTCCCATGTTTTACGTCTAACGGCTAAATTTTTTGTCCGTTTTACATGTAACGGTTAATCCCATTGAGATTTGAGACCCTCATACCTTAATCTTGTTTCCAGACTCCCACGCGTTTTTGGTCAGCAGTGACCGAACGAGCGACGGAGGTGCGTCTCGGTCAGGTCTCGATTTTTGACCATAAGAATGGAGAGCTCTAAGATCAAGATTGCCAATTAATAACTGTGAAGCTCTTTACGTTACCTGCTTACGGCTTCAGGTAGTAAAATAATGAGACAAGACAGGCTTTCTCGGCTTTCGTTTCTTTCCTATCATCAACAAAGCTCCTCCCTCTTCCATATTTTGGCCTAGAACATTTTAAAAAGTTTGGACTGATCACCGATGAAAAAAATTTATTCCGCACTAACAACAATTAATCTCAATAATTTTCAAGTTGGCATTCGCCAATTCCCGTTTTCATTTTAGTAACATCTTTCGAGCTTGTTCATTGAATCGTAATATGAATTTTAGTCGCTTGGCCGGTGCGCTGATGCGATTTAAAGACGACCCGTTCATTTCATTGTCGGTAGTACAGCCCTCGATGTCAGCTCCATTGGCTCACCTGTTTTACTATGAATCCTAATGCAGGTGAAATGAAATGTAAATGAAACTATGGTGAAATGTAGATGACAAATTAATTGTCTCACAAGGCTTAAAGCATAGTACAGCCAAGGGGAAACGTACTGTAAGGTGAGGCGATGAAATCTCGCATAGTTTACTTGATAAGACTGTTAGGTGTTAGACAAGAATCGTTGATACTTTTATTTCTTAATCTTTTTCAATTCCGCGTCTATTAAATTGGTCAGAATCCCAAAATGAAGTAAGTAAGTAAGTTACACATTCTATGCAATGATATTAATGCAAGAACTCGAGACTAAAATCGTTTACCTTCTTATTGGAGCTAAGCAACAGAATACATGGACACTGAAGTAAACTGGACAGATATTCCGGATCTAAAATTCTTCCAACCTTCCAGAACGATAGATCTCCACCGCGAATTATGGCAAATGAACGAGTTCGTTTGCCAAAAGTGATCGGCAAGTGTCATTAGGAAAGTTATCATTTTATCGGGTTGCTGATGTTTCCTTAACTGCAATTGTTACTAGTACTGCTTTTCCAACGCAACCGTCGACTTCTTGGGTTAATATTGCAAATGAATATATGAAATATCATATATTGACTGCAGTGAAAGATGTGAAGACACTAATGATCATCTCAGTGTTGTACAAAACGTTAACGTAAGCACCTGTGGAAATAAAGCCTGACAGCCGCCTGAAAAAATTCTGGCTTGAACGGGACGGAATGTTCAAGCCCGCTTGATTGATTGATTGATTGATTGATTGATTGACTGATTGATTTGTTTTTTCAAGCTTTGTTTTCACAGCTCCTTAAGTTGTGTACAACACTGTAAAGATTACTCATGTCGAGGATGCTTGTCGTTTCATTTAGGGGTGTTCTAGACGAACCGCCTCTACTTTTATCCATCAAGGTGTCTTTTAGGGTTGCACTAGAAGAAATAATAAATAGTGCTGACAGTCCGCGGTACTTTTAAAGAAACAACACAGGTGCTTGATTCACATTTTCCGACTTGTATCTTCGACTTTTCTCTCGGGAGAAACTTTCTGCTTCCCGCCCCCGCCCCCCGCGGGATATTTCAACATTACGGCTACCGCACCAAAGACACCAAACTAAGCTGCGCTCTTCAAGCTAGTTCAACTGGTCGGTAGCCCTAACTCAACCTCCAATTATATTTCCTCATATTTTTCTTCTTAACTCATTTAGTCATTTTGAGTTTCTATTGTTCTGTGACTGAAGGGTGGTTATTCTTGCTTGGTAATCGGTATTAAGGTGAGGTGGCTCAGAACACTTTCCATCACTTTCCATTACGGACTTTTAGAACTTCGAAAATCTCCTGGAAATCAACTTTGCATAAGGCTCTTCAGTGTTTTTGGTTTTGGTAAACGCAGCCAATGGTACAATGCTTATCTTAACAAACTCTCTCCTTCTTTTCAGGAATGAATTTTCTACAACTTTCTTTGCTTATAAGCTTTCTTCTTTTTTTCAATGTTACATACAGTCAGGTAAGAGTTAATTTAAATAATTAGTATAATAGAAATTGTGGAGGCGCGGTGGCCTCATGGTTAGTGCGATCGTTTCCAGATCGAGCGGTCCGGGTTCGAGCCTTCAGTGGCCGAGGACATTGTGTTGTGTTCTTGGGCAAGACACTTTACTCTCACAATCCCTCTCTCCACCTGGATGTATAAGTGGGTATCGGGCGAATTTAATGCTGGGGGTAACCCTGCGATGGACTAGGATCCCATCAAGGGAGGAGTATAAATATTCCTAGTGGCTCCATGCTACAGAAACCGGATATATCCGCCGGCCTGATGAGCCACTGGCTCATATGCAGACTTCACCATCATAGATGTTAACTGCGACTGATATTTAATTGCGTCATAGTTAGTAGAGGGGACTATGATTGTATACACAAAGAGATAATGGTAGCAGTTCTTCACATAAACATTTCTTAGTTGAAATCTTCTTTGGAGATATCTTTTGCAACGAGCAAAAGAAGCCTTAAGCCTAGTGGTGAAGTTTTTGCCATCATTTGGTACCATGCTGAGATGGAAGATCCTTTATTGCCTTCAGTTATTTTATTCTTGGTCATTTTATCTTCAGTTGCTTTAAACCATTCACTAGCTGCAGTTGTTTCTTTATTAGGCAGAAACAAGCATGGAGAATGTAAAAGCGATATGGAATCGATATTCCCAAGTGACGAAAGGAGATGTAAGAACTCTTTGGTTGAATTAGGGAGAAATGTGATTATTAACTAGAGATACAATAAAGGGAAAAAAAAGTCATGAGGAGAATCATGGGGGGGGGGGGGGGGGGGGGG